TGGGTGGTTGTTGGTGGCTGGGAGCCACCAGCCATAGTGGTGGGACACAGATAAACACATCAGTGCCATCTACAGAAACTTCAGTGACAGAAAATCCCAGGAAGAACCTCTCATAGCAACAAATACACTGTTGGAAAGGTGATATCTGGGAACTACACAGTGTTAGGCTGGTTGAGGAAAGTGCAGTTTTACACCACATCTCATGTTTTCACTGTTAAAACTAAATCAGGATGTTTTCAGTCATCATGTCACATCACTTGTATAGTGGCACCAGACTCGACAGCAACCATAGTCAACCCATTATTCATGGAAACCCAATAAACAGAAGCATCTAAATACAAATCAGCCATAATTCATTTTATTATTTACACCTGTGTTTTTACTACAGTTAAAAAAGACATGCTTATATTTCTCTTTTTATGAAATCCCACAAGTACAATCAACCATCAATATAGACAAACAGTCCAAAAAAGGCATCTGTGAAAAAGGCCTGTTATTTTATTATTCTGTCATATTTTGAATTGATTAAAATGTAGGACTGCTGAAGGAGAATAAAAAATAATGCAACAATTACAATTACTATTATTAATGATAATAACGAGTAGGCTATTATTAGTGTTCAGCTATTGTATACATAATAAGTTGATGATGGTGGTGGTAGTAATGGTGTTTCTTTCTGAAGGGCATTAATTGGACTGTGAAAACAAAAGGTACAATGATGGAAATGTGTCCCAGACAAAGTCTGATATGCTGTTTTGTATAAATATAATAATGTATTTGTGCTTCTGCAATAAAGGAGGTGAGCAAAATATAAGGGACACCTTATAGTATTATTCATCTAGCTTCTGGTTTGTCCTGGATTGGGTCACAGGGACAGTCCAGTAATCTCCAATAAATCTTTCATAAAAAGAACAAATATATATGTCCTCTTAAAATACATTAATGACATTGGAAGGTATTCATGTTATTTTGTCCCAACAATGTTTCCATAACAGGGTAAAATATGAAAAATTGAATCAACACAGCACAGTTTCTGACTGTCAAAAACGGATCATTCTGTTGTGTGTGTGTTGTTTTTATAGTGCCTATTATACTGGAGGCAATATATTGTGTTTTCATTCAATTGTGCCCATTTCTTGTTTATACCTCTCGAGCCATTTTTACTGCCTTCGCCATACTGTGGAGGGAGCCAGTCATTTCAGAAGCCATAAGATGGAGCTAGAGACCATTAAATTCACATTTCTTGTCTACAGACCGTCAGAAACCTCGGGAATTAAACACATTAACAAATGAGACCAAAACAGTGGAGTTGTTCAAACAAAACTGTCTCTTTTATTTATGGTAGTGTATGTATATTTCTGAGACAGATAATACCTCATTGCCACCACATTATGCTTTCTGGTGGTTTATTCACTTTTTTTTTGTCCATGTTAACCAATTTATAAATTATAACTTAATTACTTTATTACCTTTACTGGGCATTACTGGTAGACTAAATTGTCAATAAATAATAATTCATATTTACTGCACTCATTTGTGGTGGTGTTTCTTTTTATTTATTTATTTTATTCACTCAGTGTTGGTCTTCAGTATTGAAACAGTATAGCCAAAGCCTATTCATGAATGATTCAGCATTCTAAAAGGTGTTTAAGCATGTACTTAATTATACAGTATTTGTTAACATTATTTTAGCATGATTGTAAGCTTGACTGGTACAGTAGCTCCTAGGTCAGATCCTAGGCTGTTTTTTGTTAGTATCCTAAACTAAATTGGTTGAGAAGTTAATGCTGATTGCATTGGGCTCCTTAAATAGGCTTTAATACCATGCTTACAAGACAATGTTATAATCTAATGTCGTCATGTGGCCTGCATATTTCATGGCTTGTTTTTATGTAATCTTGACTTTATATAAACAAATATTATGTACTGTCAACCATAGTGAGTTAGAATTTGAAAGTGTGTAATTTGTGCAAATTGAAATATTTACCTAGAGCTATACAAGTTTTCTCTTAATATTAAAGATTTTATCGTAGATACTTTTAACTAAATAATGTGACACCTGTGAAATTTACGTGCAACTTGTGTAATTATGATTTTCACAGGTTTACACTGATTCTGTATGTCGTGGTGTAAATTATGTGAAGTGGCGACTCACGTAAAAATCAAAGTAAATCAAGTAAAAACTATTTTTATAATTTAATAATCTATTATCATACTAATCCTATGTTGTCTGACCTGTATGTATGTACTTTTACATGTACATGTATACAGAAATGTTTTTGAACATATATGACCCAGCAGAGTTGTGTGTGCCTCTTATTTATTTGTCTTTAAGAGCAATTCACTGAATAAAACAAATACCATTACAACACAAAAATTATTATTTTTCAAAGTATTTTTTGCCACATGTTATGTACATGTTACAACATCTTAATAAAAAGACAGAAGATCATTTTCTCATATAACTGTTTTCTCCATTTTAATAATTAAAAAAGCATTTCACTGTTCACCAGGCATTTACATTGGAATATAATGCTCAGGTCAAACTGTCTTCACTTTGTTATTGTTTGAAAATGCAAAACTTGTCAACAATAAATAATACTATAAAATGTACACAAAAAGATTGACAGTCCACCACAAGTTAAAACATTGAACAGATCGGATGTTTAGGAACAAGAAAGTCAGGAGGAGAGTTTCTTAGCAAAAATGTGACGTCCATACAAGTTACAGAAAAAGCTGATCATCTATACATTGACACTAGCAAGATAACAAAGTTGTTGTTTCTGGTATCTTTCATTTTGTACAAAGAAGGGAAAGTTTTCTTTACAAGCAAGCATCATTGTCTTAACTGTAGAGATTATACAAGCAAGAGTTAAGGCAACTTCTCTGTTGTTTTTGAAAAGTAACATGGAAATCATGTTACGGTTTATTTTGTCTGTGGACCAGTCATCTCTATAATTGTAGTTAGTTGTCTTTGCATAATTCAGGCTGTTGACCAGGCCTGTAGTCCATCATCAAAAGAGGAATGCTGGAGATCTGTCATGAGTCTGTTCACCATCACAAAGACTGTTTCAGTAGTCCAGGGTTTTCACATAAGTTAGGCATTCATGTCCTCAGTATGTGTCTCAGACAAAGACAGTATACCATTTTTAACACCAACATAACATGGTGCAAATTAAAATCAGATATAAAAGGGTTGTTGTTTTATATGTGTATGTCTGTATGTGTTGGTGCCAAGCAGGAGAACAAATAGACATGGATAGTTCCTTATCAGAAATCATGCCTCAACTGCTTTTGACTGAATCTGGGAGATGAGCTAGTAGTCATACTAGAACCCTTACCAGTGTGGGGGACTAATCATCCTAAAATAGTTGGTATTTTATGTTTTCTAAAATATAAAATGTACATAAAATATTGTTGAAAGTTGACTGAATGATCAAAATATGAAAAATCTCCATAATAAAAAATTCAAGACCTTTTTTGATTCTCATCAAAATGGTGATGTGGTACTGTGGGCTTATTACCTCTAATAGTGTAGCTATGGCCCTGGTTTTGTACAGACACAACCACAGTGTTGGGATTTTAGGTTACATCAACCCTGGTTTTTGTGCTTTCAACTGAGATGAGACAACTCGTGGTTGGACAGAGAAATTGCTCAGTTCAGTAAGTTTCGAAATGCTGTGCATATGAAGATCTGTGATAGAACAGCAAAATTGAATAACTCTATGTATGGGCAAACACAACTCAACAACCAGCTAACAAAGACCATTTTCACTGCCTTAGCATGAAGAGAAATGAAACAGGGGGCAAGGAAATGCTTAAGCTGGTACCAAAGCTGGGCCTTGGCAAGTGGCAAGCTAAGTCTAAATGCCTGACTAACAGGCGACAGATAGAGTTGCACACTGCTTATTCTGAGTCAGCACTCTGCAATCTCAACTAGGATCTCTGCTTGCACCTGCGTCACACATAGACACACACAAGCAGACATACAAAAGTAAAATTTACTATATGCATTGTGTGTGACATGGTAAGCATGCTTGTTACATATGAAAATGTGCATGAGTAAATGCCGGGCCTCATTTAGACAAAGACTGATTCACACAGTGTCTCAATGTGACAGAATGAAAAAGAACAAGGACTTCAGGTATAACACTGAGATACGCTGAGTTTGCAAAGCACTGTACACATCTAATGTAACCCACTACTGAGGATACTTCAACTTCTTCTTTTTAATCCAGAACTTTACTTGCAGTGTGACATATCCTAGGCCTTTATGGACCAAGTAAACCAAAAAGAGAGATGACAGGGTAATACTGCTTTTGACAACCACTTGTGCTCTCCTCTATCTTCCTTTTTTATGATAAAATAAGTGCTTGCTATTTTGGCAACTATAAATTATCTGGTCAAATCTTCAGTCTGGAATCCCATTTCCACTGAAAACCAGGTGACATGTTTTGTTTCAACACACCAGAAGCCTTTTGGCATATGATAAAACCTTGTCTCACACTTACACAATATACCTCCTCCATAGGAGTGTAAACTAAATGCTGGCTGATGGTGTCCCAACTCCCAAGCTTAAGCTGCAGTGTAAGTAAATTAGATCAGATGGATGTGTGCCAGTTTGTGTTGCAAGTATTTAAACTGTCCAAAAAGCTGTACATAGAGCACAAATCAAGGACAACGCTGGCTTTAGATTTGGCTTAAAAAATGAAAATTGGCAAAAGATGAGGCAACTTGGCAACCTGGACAAGCTAAAGGCAATGCATAAACATTTTTCAACTTATTTTCCAAATGGATTTGTCATGTGTGTATATTGTTGAAACATTTCTGCAGTGTTACTTCAGCAGTTTTCCTCCAGGTCCTAAGAGAATTATTTATGAAAGTGCTGGCTTCCCTCTGCCCCCTCTAAATTCAGTGCAGTCAGTCTTAAACTAACCCATGACAGGAACATCACTGGTAATGTATTATAAAAAAGATTAAGTACTAGCATGCGGTAGCAAGTGCCCACTGCAGATTGGCAGACTTTCTACATTGCTATGCCATCCCAGTTCTTTTGGAGGTGCAGTAATCCTTGCAATGTTCTCAAACAAAAGGGGCCTGTATTACTGTTACTAGCAGGGCTTACTGCTGAAGAACACAGACAATATTCCTGAGGGTGAGAAAATGTTAATAAATGATTATCCGAACAACTCTGAATCATTTGTGTGAAACAACATACACTCAGTTGGCAGTAGACACACCTTGCAATAAATCCTAAGGTGATGATGAAGGTGATAATGTTCAGTTTTTGTTCATACTGTTGAACTGACTGTACGATCATTCTGGAGGCTGTTGTTTGTGCTGCTGTCAAATTGCACTACATTATACAGAGGGCTGTTTCTGTTATTTAGCCTAGCCTCACAGATATACATGGGATGGACAAAATACAAAAGAAAAAAAAAACTGTCAGTATTATGCAGTACAACTGAACAACACCACAAACTACATTACCATTCAATAGTTAAATCCAAATGGAAAAACTCTGGTCGTATGCTTATTCCAAACAAAACCATTTTAATGAAAACTGAGAAGGGAGGATTGATTAGATCAGTGGTTCCCAAACTTTTTCTGCTGGGTTCCCCTTTCACCCCCAATGCCATACACATGAACCCCCAACCCCTCAGTTAGGGAGCCACTGGATAAGACTAACTTAGTTTTAGCTAGGTGTAGCTAATAAACTGCTAACTGAGTGGATATCAAAATTCAGTGACATTTACAAGTAAACAGACACCATAGGAAAATAGCAGAGCTTGCATGTTTGCATCCACACACCATTAGTTGCTGGTGAAGGTTAATACTTTGTCCTTCAGTTTGCCTCAGCAATAATTATCAATGCAACTAGTGATTTTATGTCCAAGGACAGTTTTCTGGCCTCTGATGGAAATAGCTCTTTAAATTGTCCTTCAGTCATATTGAACTAGCTGCATTCTTGTTATACTTCTTTTTAGCTACCACCCATCAGAATCATCCAGAACTCTTAGTGTCAGGATGGCTAGTACATCATTGCTGGTTGCTGACAAGCAAGAGCTACGAAGATAGTGCAGAATTTCTTTTATCTTTTTTTAACAGCACTGTGGCTCTACAATCCAGACTCTGTGAAATCAGTTTATTCCTTAGTGACAAGTAGTATGAGAAACAAAAACACTTACTGGAGTGGCAATTTTGCACCTGTGGTGTGGCATCAAGTTGGACTGAAACAGGAGTGTTACATAGAGGTGTGAAAACCTCTCTTTAGGTTCCTTCACTAAATTCCCAACAGTGACTTTGAAAATCGGACACTGTAGTGCATTCCACAGTAACACACAGCACAGAGTACTTGCTTTGATAAGAGAGGGTGGATAAGGTATAAGGGGCAGTGTGGGATAAGAGTCTCTAAACAAGGAGAAAAGCAATGGGGTAAAGTCCTTCTGTTGCAGTGATACAGGCCTACTGTCTACAGTTCAAAGGTGAAACAATCCTGCTGGCAACATCAAGTCTGTAGTCCATTAGTGTGTCTGTCACACAAACAAAAGGAGTCCTGTCTGCTCCACTATGATACACATGTTTGGTTGGACTCAGTTGTTGAAGGCGATTTGTGGTGCTGGTAGTCTGGACGATGGGTGAAGACAAGAACAGTGTCTGTGTGCGTACATGTGTTGAGCTGTAGTTGGGAGGGGTGGGATTTGGAGGTGGGGGTGGACAAGTGAGTGTCGTTGATGGCACTGCGGTCCTCAGAGCATCCATCTGTGAAAAAGAGTGGGAGGAGAATAAAACTGAGTCAGTGGATGAGCAACCCCCCTCCAGGGCTGTTCTGGGTGAAGTTGATGCATGAATTCAAGAAGGCAGCTCCACGTTTAAATTAAAGGTAAGTGGGTGAACAGAAAGGGTTCAGTTCATAGCAAAGGGCTTATACAAGTACCACACTAGGACAGTTTTGCAATGCAAGCATGTGTTAAATAAATGGAATGTTTGGTTAATTAATGCACTGGTTACGCACATGCTCCAGCAAGAAATCAATAAAAATTTACAACAACAAAACAAACTGCACATGCATGTCAAGTACATTGCTTACCAGTTATTGTATATTTAATACAGTTTTAGTCTTATATTGAGTCTTACTTTGAGGCTTATTTTAGTTATTTTCTTTTGTGCATTCTAAAGGCAGGTATATACTTGATGCACAGCTGGAACTTTCTAAGACTGGACAGGCTACAATTAAAGCCTTACACACCTTAAGACTGAGTAAAAACCATAGACAACACACTTAACAACTGTCTGTAATGACTGGAGGTAAATTCTCTTATTTAATCATTCCTTGCTCCTCAATCCTTGCTCAACCAAGAAGCCATTCCAGAACATCCCAAAGCTCTTTTTCCTGCTCTGAGAAGCAAGGAGCGAGGAGACTTACCCGGAGGAGCCATGAGCAAGGATACATGAGACCACTCTTTACAGAGGTCTTTTATGGACTGATGCCCCTTGATCAGATATCAGTTGGTGATTGGATGTTTGACATGAAGGATGGGAAGGAAGGAGGCCTCATGTAGGATTAGACTCTTTATATGACACACATTACAGAATTTTATCTGCTGACTGTCAACAGTGACTATCCCAGACTGGATTTGATTCTGTCCACCTCGGTCTGATCAGTCATCACATCCAAAATTACATTTATAATCAGCATTCGTCAAGTGTGTGCCCACCTTAAGTGCTCAGGGAAATCCTAGAAGTCACTTAGACGTATTAACACCTCCTTTTTAGGTGTCTTGTTTCATGTCATCTTTTCACAAATGAGTTTCATATCATATTCCCTCCTGGTGTGCTAACCCTTTTAGAGGCTTTCAGAGCCTGTCCCTGCAAACACCCCTCCAGGTGACATTCAATCACCTGCACACCTGTTACAGATGGGTTTAAGCTTGGGAATATGCACTCTGGCATTCTATCAATCCATCCATCCATCCACCCACTATCTATACTGCTTGTCCTGAATGGGGTTTGGGGGGGGATCCCAGCTGACATTGGCAGGGTACACCCTGGACATGTCGCCAGTCTATCACAGGGCTAACACTTAGAGACAGACAACCACAAACACCCTCTGGCATTATATTCAGATTATAATTTAGCTGATGCTTGTTTGACTTCTATCACACTGGTACACTGTGTCCATCCTTTAAACAAGGACCACATTGTTCAATTTGATTAAATGATGAGGCTTATTGTGATATTTCAAAATGATCATGACATACTGGATATAACATTTTTAGAGAATGTTGCCAGAATTTTTCAAATTTTAAAATGATGAGACTGAGTATGAATAATAAACAACTCTTTAAAGAATGTTGTGGAAGTAAAGATAATTTTAAGTAGTTCACAAATACATGCTGGGGAGTGAAAGACATTTGTAACACCAACACTGACTGATTATTTGATGGGTACCCTGCTGTGAATTACAAAATGTCACTGAATAAATCTGTGTGAATTTATATTTAAATACAGAGCATGCACAGCTGCATGAAAGTTTTAGTGGAATCACACTGGGGGGAACCTACCTCATTTGTTTTGATTGCGGATTCGCAGACACCTCCTCTTCATTGGTGGCTCCAGCTCAGGGCTTCCAGCTGCTGATAAAGGCGCACTAATGGAACAGGACAGGATGGCTGTCTTGTCAGCGCCAGGCTTTGGCACAGGCTGGATAACCACACAGCCTCCAGTAGACAGCAGTGGCAGGGCATAGGCATGCTCGCCCTCCTCCAAATTGGAGTCAGGGTCTGGTTTTCCCTCCACTGTGCTCATCATCTCATCTTGTGCTGATCCCCGCTTCCCTGGCTCCCAATTGCCAACTGAGCAATTGTTCTCTTTCAGTGCCTCATGCTCCAGCTCACCGTTGGCTGGCTGATCCTCTGCCTCGCCTCCTCCTGCAACTCCGTCTCCTTCTTGGTCAGAGCAAGACTCAAAGGCAGGAGTTAAAAGGGAATGCCATCCTGTACCATTCACTATGACATTACATGGTGTGGCAGGGCTAGTCTGCAGCTGGGACAGGGGTTGGGGCTGGTTCCGTACTGTGCTTGGTAAGGGTGTTAGGGTAAGGGTGGAGAAACAGGGATTTAGATGGCTCACTGGTGCATCAGCATTGCTAGAAAGGCTGCTGTTGTTGGAGGGTGGGCCTGATGATTCCAGGATGTTTGAATGAGTGGCCTCTTCCAGTTCTGTAGCACTGGGGAGGCCCTGTGAGAGGGCCCCTTCTGCCCCATCACAACTGCCCTGCCTTTCCCTGCCTAGCCCAGCAGCTGGTGGAGATCTTGATTCAGCTTCTGCTTCTACTTTGACCTGGACCCCAGGTAGCATTCTTTGAATTACCTGCTGTTGGCATGTCTTCTGGCCCACAGTTAGATCAATCACACCCTCCATCTGTCTGGTTAAACACATATTTCCCAAATTGTTCTCTGCCTTCACTGTCAAATCTACCAAAGGCATCCTGTTTGTTTCTAAGTGTACAGGAGATAGACACTCCACACCAGTAGGCTCTACTTTCTGCTCCCCTCTGTCACCTCCAGAGGAACCTGGAGAGTGGGGCCCAGAAGCTGAAGCTTCTGAGGACTCTAGAACACTGCGGACGGAGCCACTACTCTCCCTGGAGGGTTTAGGGTTGAAGGGAATTGGAATTGGAATAGGGATTGGGACAGGGAGTGGAACAATGACAGGATAAGGGACCAAGAGAGTTGGAGGGGGTACCAGTGGGGCCAAAGATGGCATGCCAAAGTTAATCATTGGTGGCAGGGGGATGGGCCCATTAGGCATCATGTTGACTGAGGAGAAAGGGGGCAGGCCTGGAATAGGGAGACCAGGGTGGGGGGGCATTATGCCAGGGTTGGGGTTGGATGAGGGATGGGCATGCTGTGACAGCAGGGGCCTGTGCATGGGGCTTGATGCTGAACCAAGGGTTCTGGTGGGAGGTGGTGGACCAATACCAGGAATTATTGGATTTGAAAGTGGGCTGTTGGGCCCTGCTGGGTGGGCAGATGGGCGAAGAAATGGTGGACGAATCTGCTGCATCATTTGATGCTCCATGAAAAGAGGCAAGGGCATGGGTCCCCGCGGTGTCATTACCATGGGGGGGCTGCCCGAGGGAACTCCGACTGGCGGGTGCAAAGTGGGAACAGGTGGAGGGGGGATTGTGGGGCTCTCATGGGGTCTGGGTGTGGGGATCTTGGCTGAGGTGGAAGAAGAAGGAGAGCAGACGACAGCAGTGTCTGAGGGTGAGGTGGCAGAAGGAGTAGAAGGGGCAAAAACAGAGGTGGTGGAGGGCCCTCCTGGTGATGGAGCTTTACGACGGAGGTCCGTTAATGGCGTTCCCCAGGATTCAGGAGTGAGTAGCTGTACCCCTCCACTGCACTCTGGCTTACCCTCCCCACCAGCCCCATGTCCAGGGTTGCACAGTGCTCCAGGCAGTGCAGCCTGAGTCTCTTTGTAGAAAATGTCCATCTTGTATTGGTTCAGGCATTTGGCACTGCAGAACTGCAGCCTCCGCTCACCAGCACCAAAGTCTAGGTACTCCTTAGTGTGGCGAATATGTTTGCACCAGTCACACACCTGCAACAAAAAACACATCATACACGCACTGTATCAGCACCTGTCACCCTACACACAAAAGACTTCTGATTTGTTTTTGATGAAATATGACACAGCCTCCTTTGAAGTAAAGCAGAAGCTCAGCCTCCATAACATCTGGGGAAATGGATTTACAAAAGATTCTTTTTAAGGAAACTGGTGGTGTTTCTAAACACTTTTCCATCTGTCAAGAGTAAACACTTAGCCTTGAAATCTATATAAATGTACTGTCAGGTCCGCTCGGGGCGACCTGCCTCTCTTTCTTTTTTTTCCTCTCCTGCTCTCCCTTTTTTGCGGGATCAACGCCTCAGCTGTGTCACATCGGGTAATTAGTGACTCGTGGGTCGGTGCGCACACCTGAGGCGTATTCCAGTGATTTGTTGGCTTCCTTATTTATACCTCTGGCAGACGCCCCGTCGTGGCCGGAACATTGTGACATGTAACGGACAATACTTACCCTATGTAAGTTAAAAGTTTATGTTTGACCCGCATTTTTAGACGTGTGTAAGATGCTACGCTGACAGTATCTGTGCATTTTGGCTTGACCTTATCACGCTAATTATGCGGTTAGCAATACTTAAATACGTGCTTTGTCTTCCACGCTGACAGTCCCTGTGCTGTGGATTGCATTGTGTACGTTAGTTCTTTTTGTTCATCTCTCCGTTCTCATCCTCCTGCTCTCCTGATTCCTGCCATTAGTGTGTATGTGTACCTGTTCATCCTGGTCTCCTTAGTCATCACTGCCCTTCCCTTGTATGTATTATGGACCCTGTTATGTTGTCACCTTATTGTTTTTATTCCATTAAACCTCCTTTTTTGTACTAGCACCTGGGTCAGCCATCTTGAGTCCAACCCCAGTTCTCCCTCACCCTCCTGGTGAGGGGGACTAAACCATAACAGAATACTCCGGCCAACACTGGACTCAGCTGGCTCAGGTGCTAGCTTTCCCTCATCTTCATTCCCCAGCCGTAGTATGAATCAGCCCCGGTCACAGAAACTTGCCTTAGCTCCCCAGAAACTCAGGACATCTACCGGCAACTCACTTACCATAAGTTTTCCCCATTTTCTTTTCCTGAGGCTGCACCCAAGCCCTCACCTCCACAGACTGTTTTGTCCTCCATGCGCCTCGGTTCTTTTTTTCTGTTTCCTGTCTCCGAGCCCACTCCAGTTCCCACCGGTTTTTCTTCCTCACCCTACACTGGTACTCGGTTGGCCCTCTGTCCCGGTGCTCCTGGGGGAAGGTGGAGCAGGCGGGCCAACCAACGCCAGTCACAGCCCCAGCACACCAAATCACCGCTGCTTCAGACTCCACAGCCCCAGCAGCCCATGCCA